ATCCCGAGCATCGTTATTACTGGCCAGGGTCAGAATCTTGGCTCTGTCCTGTATGGTCAGGACGGCGGGCTGCTTACTATGGCCAACGGTGTAGGGTATCGCCAGCAGATTTGTCTGGAAGGTGTCGAAGCCCAAGCCCCTGAGCGAGAGGGTGAGATACTGGTTCGGGGGTATCATCGGCACCTGGAACGTAAGCCCCAGGATATACAACGGCCTAGGTACAGTCAGTTCACTCCTCCTTGTACGTCGCATGCATCCTTCGGGTATGGATGGGTTGGGGCCGCCCACCAAAGGTCAAAATCCTTGAGGCTCTGCCACAAAAGCCCGAGCGTTATGGGCTCGCGGTTGTGCATGTCGCTCTTGTTCGGGTCTTCCCGCAGAACACGGTTTACGATGATCTTTTCTTCGCTGGGGGCGCGCAATGTTGGTCAGCATGATTCGAGCATCCGGGCATGGAAAGGGCCCTACCGCTCAGTAAACCACCCGTTCTTGCCCCGGAACCAGCTCGCCGTCTGGCATGGTCCGGCTGGCATTAGCAGAAAGGCGAAAATGCCAACAACAAGCGTCAACAAGCCCTATTCTCGCCATCAGCCAAGCCCCATGCCAGCATCACGATGCGGTGTGTCTGGAATCCAGCGCTCCTACCTCGATCAGGAACAGCCACCTCCAGCCCGAGTGGCCCTGGACACCCCGCATGTGCAGGATTCCGTACGCAAGAAGGGAGGAGCAAATATCGGCGATGCTCATGGCCGTCCAGAAGAAACCCAGCCGCAAAGTGAGCTCGTGGTGCTTGTAAAAGTAGGAGAGGTATAGTATCACCTATTGGGCCTCTGTATGAGCTTGCACTAACTCGTATGCTGCCCGGGAGAGGCCGGGCATCGGAGAGGGGTGTTGCTCACATCGGGTATAAACCCCCCTTGCAGTATCCCCAGCAAACAGCGGCAGACAAGAAACGAGGTGCGGCCGGACAAGAAGAACTGGGCACTCGCAACAATGCTCCAGAGGGTCATCTGCGACGGAATCCAGCGGTCCGGGCCCACCCACTTGGATACTAACTGGGACGGGAGCTCAGCAAAGAAAAAGGAGAGCCGGAAGATGGTGTTGCCGAGGTTGTAGTCTGGGGGCTGGGTCAGTGCTGCACCTAGGGCCATGGTCGTTCGAACGGGATCATCAACTCACCGTTGGTGGTCAACCCGAGGTCCGGGAGGAAGTTGTCCGTCAGGGCCTGCCCGAGGTTCGCTCGATCGAGCTCGAGAGCCATAAACATGATACAGGTCCACACCATGATTCTGAGGTCGACTTTGCGCACCAGCCGGTACTCCTCGCGCCAAGTCCATCGCGCGAGGGGATCAAAGCGATGCGTGTTCTCCCTGGACACGGGCCGTTTGTCAGATTCCCTAGCCCTGAGCCACCTGAGACGAAGACTCTCACCATTCGGGCGGAGGCTGATAGCGCTTCGCCGTCTCCGCGTCATCGAACACGCTGGGCTAAACAGGCGTTAGCCCCCTTCCTGTTCTCACTAAGGCACCGAGGCTTGGGTAGCATGGTGGTGGGCTTGCCTGGGTGGCAATGGCGTCGGGGTCGTAAGACCTGGTTCTCTGGAACCAAAACCTCTTCTCCTGGAGGGCTTCCCCGAGAGGTGGGATCGTGTTCACGGACGTGGTTGACGTGTCCGGGCCGAGCTTGCTGTCTGGGTCCCTCTCGACCTTGGAAGGCCTGTTTCTGGTAAAAACGGTAGCCATTATCACCCGCTGTTAGCGCGGCACGACCGATCCGCTGAGATTGAGGCAACAATCAACGCCAAACTCCCACCCGATGATGGAGTCGAGGTCGTAGCTGCTGCTCCCAGCTTGCTCTAGACGGTCCCCGGGCATTAGCACCTTATATGATGAGCCTGGCGGTATATCAACAGAACGAAGGCTCTTATCAGAGGCGTGGGCTCCGTTTCTAGCTCGAAGCATTGCGTACACCGTCCGCATAATCACGCCTTGAGCACACCCGGGCATGCTATATCGAGGCGGGGGCACATCAGTGTGTACTGGCGTATACAAGCAGTGTCTACGATAACCCTGCCAAGGACTCGACGTTTCGACCTTGGCCCTCAGCTCACCTCAACCACGCCAGAGCGTGTTTCACTGGGCACCAGGCAGCTAACTAGGTCTCCATCGCTCACCACCGATGTCAGGAACGGCGGTAACCCGGACCAGATGGGAAAATGAGGCGGGTGTTGTCTGGCTCGAGATGTGTTACCTCATATCATGCTCTGGCCCGATCCAAAGACCTTGTCAGGTTCGATGTTTGCACATCACACCCCCAGGGGAAGCTGGATATCACGGTCCCCGGGCAACCAACCTGGAGCGGGATGAATGTACCCAAGGTGTGCAATGAAGCTGAGGCTGGAATGGACAGCCAAGCCCTGGTATCGCCGTGAGGGTCGGCTGAGCCAGCGTTGTGGCTTGCGCCAAGATGACATCAAGGGCGAGCGATGGCGTGATGAGGCGTGCTCACTCCAACGACTGACGCGAGCTCCATTGACTCCAGCAACACCCGCAACCCAAACATGCCATTGGCCAATTGTAAACGTACCCAAGCAACTCCCATGTTGATGGCGGCATAGCTGGTCATATGAGCGCCATCCCTAACACACCCACGATGTTGACCTCCATCAACTTGCATTATCTCCGCAATCTCCACAGCTAGAACGTGGAGCTCAAAGCGAAACCGAACAACGGAAAGACACAATACCAATCAGACAGCAACAAAGAAACATACCAAGTATGTTGCCCAGCGTGGGGGTTGGCTTGCGCCATCGCCTGGTCCATTCCAGGGAACGACGAGACAGGTGCGGATCTTGATACGTAACCGGGGTGCCGGATGTCATTGTACCATGTTGCCATCTCCCCGCGGGCCACGGTGTTGGCTCGCCCAGCCCTCCGAAGACGCACTTCTCCGTCCTGACCAAGCGGTGTTTGTGTTGCTGCGATCCCTGCACCGGTCCCATCCCCACCCGATGAGGTGACGGAATACGCGTTCGAGAGCTCGCCATTTTTACTAGCGATGCCCATTCGATAGCAGCCGTTGGCCGCTCCGCGCTGCTCGCCATTATCTGCTTGCTGGCGTGACATCGGGGGAGGCGAGGGCGCGGGCAGATATGACATGAACTTGGGGGTAAATGATCTAAACCCATCTCGTCGCCTGGTGGACAAGACGTTCTATTTGGTACATCGTTATATAAAGTGACAGACGTCCCGGCTTTTACGAGCGGATCTCAGAGCGCTGAATCACAACCAAACGGAACTCTCTGCTCAGCCAGATTTCACACACATCAACCTCTACTATACTAGACTTAACCGTCGGTAACAGCCATGGCCCCATCAGCAATCGACATTGACATCCCGGTGGCGACCAAGGGGCCTGCTCGAGAACCTCTCAAGCTCTCAGGGGCGCTTGACGCCTACGAATCCTTCGATGTCACGCCAGTCATTGGCCGAGAGTTTCCGACAGCCAAACTGGACGAGTGGCTGGCCGGGCCTAACTCGGATGAGCTGCTCAGGGATCTTGCCATTACCAGTGAGTCCTATACCCAGTGGTATATAGATATCGTGTTTAACAATGCCAGTCTCGCAACGTGGAGTCGTGTTCTTTCGTGCCCAGGACGGCCTCACCAACGAGCTCCAGAAACAGCTTATTCTGCGGCTCGGGGAGCTGACCGGACGACCTGCTACCTCGGGACTCCATATCCACCCCATCCTCAACTCCGAGCGCGATCTGGGAGGGAACGACCTCGAGATCAGCACCATTAGCTCGGTCCAGAACAAGAAGTTCTACTCCAAGACGGTCGCAGACACACTCAGCGTCAAGAATCAGAGCAGCGCCCAATGGCACAGTGACATTGCTTTTGAACCTGTGCCGGCCGATTACACATCCCTGCGCCTAGTAGAGCTACCCACAACTGGCGGAGGTGAGTGGCCCGAGTCGTAATCTTTGGAAGACCTCCACCACTGACACAAGGGCAGACACCCTCTGGGCATCGGGCTACGAGATCTACGACCGCATCAGTGAGCCGTACCAAAAGTTCCTCGAGAGCCTTACAGCCACCTTTGAGCAGCCTGGCTTCCAGAGAGTGGCCGAGAAGTCGGGGTTCAAGATATACGACAAGCCGCGGGGTGCACCCGAGAACGTCGGTGGCGAGCTCAAGGCAGTCCATCCCGTTGTGCGCACGAACCCGGTGACGGGCTGGAAGAGCATCTTTCCCGTGGGCGGCCACGTCAAACACATCAACGGGCTGACCGACGAGGAAAGCTCCAAGCTCCTCAGCTGGTTCCTGGATCTGGTCTACAAGAACCACGACTTGCAGGTCCGGCTGAAGTGGAAGAACCCCAATGACATTGGCAAGTACCCCCCACACAAGCGATGTAGGCAAAAATTCTAACCAATCTACAGCCATCTGGGACAACCGGTCCGTTTTTCACACTGCTACATTCGACTACCAGGACGGCAACTACGGTGAACGGTTTGGGAACCGCGCGGTCGGCCTGGGCGAGCGGCCGTATCTGGACCCCAACAGCACTTCGCGGAGGGCGGCGCTGCACGACGCTTGATGGGAACTGAATGGGGATGAAACCACAGGGGTTATATTTCTTTGACGCAGTAGGCCCAGACTACGGTGTTTTGTGACCCCCGAGGCCTACAGTTGAAGAGCCTCTGGCTGTGTCTACAGCGTATTACACCCTTAGTGGCACTAATTCTGTTTCTGCCGCTTGGAATAAATCAATGAATCGCTTCTCAATCTGCAGGACCGACAGCCCTCGCCGGGGTCTGTCGATAAAGATCAACTACCCTAGGGATAAAAACCGTAATCTTTGCCATATCTGAATTGAACTTGAACTACAACTATACTACAAAGTCTGGTGCTGCGCTACTACGCTGGTGCCGCACCCCGCCCAGTCGTTGACTGATGAATACTCTCCACACAGGTCCACTCAACAAATCATTTGACTGGTCCGTTGGCCCAATGGTAGGGCGTTGCTTTCCGGTTTCGAGCGTAAGAAGATATGTTCGGCCACTGGCAAAGATTCTGGGTTCGATCCCCAGGCGGATCGATAATATTTTGCTTAGAACTATATAGCTCTTCTCTTTTAAGAAGTCTATATAGCTTCTTTTTATCCTCCCTTCTATTATTATTTTATTATTATTATTATTATTTCCTACACCGATATGCCCGTAGGCGCGCCGGTCCT